TAAAGTTTTCTACACTCCTAGACACTATAATTGCACAAAAAATAGTTTATAAATGCAAAAAAAGGTGCATTTAGCATGAAATGTCTCCTTTAAGTGTGGAACAATTATTGCATTATACAACATAAAGAGTGCTTTATCATTAAATAAGTCCTTTACTTTGTACAATCCCGCAATGGATTTGGCTATTTTTGTTCTTAAATGATTTATGTGAGGTCTCCATTTCAGACCCTCGTCAATGATGACACCCAGAAATTTCACCTCACTTACTCTACAGATCTTGACACCATCAAAACTAAATGGAACATCAACAGTAGTCTTTCTTTTACTGAATATCATATAATTCGTTTTATCTAAATTTAATGATAATTTATTAAGTATAAAACAGGTTTGTATTTTAGCTAATTCTGTTTGCATCATTACTAACATCCGTTCTATATTTTTAGCAAAACAAAAAAATGTAGTGTCATTTGCAAATAAAACACGTTTGAACAACCCTGACACATTTACTAAATCATTCACATGTAAAATGAACAACTTTGGCCCAAGAACAGAACCTTGAGGCACTCCACATGTGATATTACCCAATTTAGATCTTACATCATTTATTTGTACAAAACATTTTCTGTCCTTTAAATAACTAGACAGCCACTATAATGCTGATCCTCTAATATCATATTTGTTCAATACTTCAAGTAGAATGGTGTGGTCAATGGTGTCAAAAAGCTTTTTTCAAATCAACATAAATACTAGCACAGTACTGTTTTTAATCAACAGCAGTTGTTATTTGCTCTACAAAATCCATGAGAGCCATTGATGTGGAGTTATTTGCTCACTCTAAACCCATACTGACTGTTACTTAAAATATTTTTTATTTATCGATAAATTGATTTAATCTTGTCACAAATAACTTCTCTAAAATCTTTYAAAACTGTGGCAACAAAGATATTGGTCTGTAATTATTGAACAAACATTTCTCACCATACTTAAAGAGAGGAATTACTTTGGCTACTTTCATGTTGTCTGGAAATATACCAGTTGAAAATGATAAATTACAGATAGTATACTGTATGTAAAAGGTTCAAGAACATAAGTCATTATTTCCTTAACAAACATCATGTCCATGTCCACACAATCTTTTGATCTTTTTCTGCAAGACTTTTTACAATATTCATGATTTCTTCTTTGTCAGTTCCATTAATAGCAGGGATGGGATGTTAGTCAATTTCCATGATAACTGCAGCCACACAGTGCTTAATGCGAACATACAGGGTTTTTGATTATAAATTTCCTTAATGTTCACATGACTGGTTGTCATGTGAAAAGGGGGAATTGAAGAAATTTATTGGAGTTGTTTACTACTGACTTTTAAAGACACTACACATTGTATGGTCTTCTATTTGGTGAACTGTAATATATTTATATAACGTGGTTGTCTCTCATTGAATTGATGATTTTATGTGCAGACTGGGATGTGGGACTCTTGACCAGGGTTCCACACACTCAGGAGGCTTTTAGTTAGATACATGTCTGATTTAAAACAACACATATAAAAACCGTGATTATACATTAGGGTGAGGAATAATGTCTGACATCTTGACTCCGTATAGAAATAGCCTGGCCCTTTAACATATGTCTTAAGGCGGAGTCAGGATGTGAAGAGTTTTGTTTCTGGATGTGTTTTCCGGGTTCTGGTCACGGCTCAGCTGTTGCCTATCAGAGGCACATTAAAAAAGCTAATCATACCACAGCTGTGTCTGGATGGGTTTGTAATACTCACTCAAACATTCACGTCATTATTATTAACTGGTGTTAGATCTGAACAGGCAAAGTGTAACAAACATTGCTTATTTTTAACAAGGTGTTAAAATTAAAAATAAACCAATAAACAATATAAAAGTAAAAGCCACCCCTAAAATCATTGGATATGATAAATTGTGTCACATTAGTTAACCTTATCTCAGCTGTAGCACTGAGTTAAAAACAGCATAATGAAACTAGTTTAATGAAGAATCTGTCTCTGAAATAATTATTTAATCAAGTGCTTATTTATGTAGGTAAAAGTATGTTAAACAACCTGGTAAAATACACCAGAATGCAGGAAATGGCATTTATTTCATTCAAAATTTTAGTGTGTCGCCCCACTTTTAAAATGGTTATCACACCCATGCTCATAAAGTCACTGCCTGTATAAGGGCATAAGGAAATGACCAAAGTTCTGCAGAAACTTTCAAGTAAAAAATGATATAATTTTCCTGGCCACCCCTGTGTGAGTAGTGGTCCCTGTCTGGCCAGTCCTGGGAAAAATGTCTGGCTCAACCTCTGGTCCTGAACCAGTCCTGTGTCCTGTGTTTATCTGTGTCTCTTTCTTGTCCCCTCAAACCCAGCCAGTCGAGGCAGATGGGCACCTGTCCTGAGCCAACAGTACAAACCAACACAAGGTCAGTTAGGACTGTCCCAAGCCTCTGTGCATCTCTGAAGGGTAATCATCAAACGACTCAACCTTTAATCAATGATTTTAATAAGTGTAACTTGTCTTCAGACAGCATTCAATAAAAACAAGTAGAAACCAAGAGGAGGAGGAATCCCAGGCAGGAGAGCATGCTCAGTATATCAGCTAAAGTAGCGCTGCGTTCAACAACAAGTTCTCCTCCAGAAGGGCGTCCAGTGTTAAAAAAACAGGTTGTGACTCGCAGCTCAGCTTTAGTTTGAAATCCATAGGACACAAAAACCATGGGACCTGGAGAATCACAGTACAAAAAAAAAAAAACAAGCTCTACTCGTTCGACATTTTTCACAACAAAAAGAAATTTTTAAACCTGAAAAAGTTAGTTAAAATCACAAAATCCCACCGAATAATAAAATGAATAAATGCTGATTATGTGTGAGTTTCATGCAGGGCAGCAAGCTGACACTCCTGAAGGAGGGAAGATGGAATCAAATGCAGCTCTGTCTATGTCCACTTCAACGCCGCACAAGTCCAGAAACAGCTTTAATTAACAGTTACACCCCCCCCC